TTGTCCCGCCAGCAATATCACAACTGACAAAGAGAGATTTTTTTCCCCCCCTCTCTACCTTTGACTGCTTTCTTTCAACCCACATCTGTTGTGTTTGGCAGCAAAATTGTCAAAACTCTACTGCCCGCTGTTAAGCCAGCTGCTCAATTTAGCTCACTCTGAGATTCGGAAGCACTGTCTGAATCAAGTTTCCATTTTTAACCGAGGTCAACTGGGAGAAGAATGGCGGAGAAGATTCACATGAGCGAATCAGGACACAGTTCGGTCTTGGCCCTGCGGCGGGAATATGCCTACATCAACCGCCAACACATCCCCACGACGTATCTTCTAGATTTTCACACATCCTTCTAAACTCAAGCTGTGCTTGGCTTATAATGGTGTATTTTTAATAAATGAAACTAAATTCAGTCCATTTGCTTAGTAAATTGGAGGATTTGCACGATCTGCCAGCAACGAGGCCAACAAAGTGACTCCATTCCTACAACATATAATGCCTAAACAAATAGGCAATATGGTAGCTTCAGATGACCATCTTTTTCACTGAGCCTTCTAAGATAATAGTTGGGTTCATATGATTCTTTGAACTATGAATTATACACCCCCTTTTTGCATAGTGTGTCTAATCCACCAGTGTGTTGGCAAATGCCCATACCTGGGGCAATACGGTAAACCATAGTTCTATTAATCATAAGCATCAATATGGTGTCTAGTTGAAGGAAAAAGTCGAGGGATGACATGTTAGCAGTGTTCTAGTATTTAAGGGGCTGCCACAAAGAAGAGGGGGTCAACCTATTCTCCAAAGCATCTGAAGGCAAGACAAGAAACAATGGATGGAAACTAATCAAGGAGAGAAGAAACCTAGACTTAAGGAGAAATTTCCTGATTGTTAGAACCATTAACCAGTGGAACAGCTTGCCTCCAGAAGTGGGTGCTCCAACACTGGAGGTTTTAAAGAAGAGATTGGACAACCATTTGTATGAAATGGTATAGGGTTTCCTGCTTGAGCAGGGAGTTGGACTAGATGACCTCCAAGGTCCCTTCCAACTCTGTTATTCTGGTGCAAATCTAGCCGTTGCACTTCAATAAGCCATGGTTGAAGACTTAATATATTGGACAAACTCAGTTCAATGTGCTTTATTTGGAAAACCACAGTTAAGCAGAACAGGGCTTAATGTCAGATGCAACCCATCACTGTTTATTAGACCCTGAGCCAGGTCTTCTGCATTCCATGGTCAAATCTCTCTATAAAAAGCTAGGGACTCCGCAATTCAGCCCTGAGCTACATAAAAAAAAAAAAAAAAATAGGGAATAATTTTATAGGAGTGCTGCGCATACTTGTAAGTGAACAAAATGTGGAGTCTGGGGTGCTCTCTCAGCTCGGTTGTTTTGTGTTTTGACATCTTATTACCCAACTAGGTAACAATCTACATCGGAGCTACATATATTCTCCTCTGTTGGCATCTGGCTTTGCTCACAGCTGTCCAGAGTAGGTTGGGATGAGAAATACCCTCTAAAGAAGGCTTTGTCTGACTTGCAGGACAGCTGCAAAAATCTCTGATCACCAAGGCTGTTGAACACAAAGAGCTTTTCTGGGGGAAAGCCCAAGGAGACAGAAACTAGGAGAAACCACACTTTCTGTATTCTCCAGATCATTGGTACCTTCCAGATGGAGTGGAAGTACATTTCCCAGGATCCCTATCTGCTTCCAAAGGTCAACCTCCAGGCTTCCTTGCCTTTCCTGCAATTGTTCCAGGACAGAGTTTTTGGAACTTTAGCAACTTTCTGATGTGTGGATGTGAACGCCCAGAATTACCCAGGCAGCTTTGGGGAGGCCGTTGAAATGTGGATTTTAAAATGTTCACAAGGTGGCCAATATTTGTAGCCCGGGTGTTGGACGAAGGCGAAGCTTCGTTCTCTGAGCCTGTCAGTTGGTTGCTGAACCTTGCGTTGCCATGCTAGGTAACATCTTCAGTGAAGTTTAAGGGATGTCTGTGTTCTTCAGGTGTGGGTGTGTGTCAGGTGAGGGTCTGGATGGGTCTAGTGATGAGGAGGTTGAAAAGCTTCCTTAATATGCAATGGGTGGGGTGAATACAGAACACTGGAACTCCTTCATTGACAACCATTTGTTTAGCAACACTTCAAAGTAACAAAGGCACTGAAAAAGTGACTTTTGACCTGTCCTCGTATTTATGACTGCTGTAGCATCCCCACGGTTATGAAATCCAAATTTGGGCACTGGGAAACCACACATGTATTTACGACAGTTGCACAAATACTGGAGATTGCCCCTTAAGACCTCAGCTGGCATCCGACAAGAAAGGCAATGAAGGAAGTCATATTTGGTGACCAACTGCCCAGTTCACTTACCAACTGAGTGACTCGCTTAACCAAGTTGTATTGTTTTAGGAAAAGGTTTATAAAAACGCACCTAACGCAGAAGGCGTGCACCAAAATGGGAAACAGACACAAGCAGAAACACAAACAAACATATATAATACTTGGGGGGGGGGGTGAGCATAGCACATTAAGGGAAAGAAATAGATCATTGCAAATTTCCTTGACCCCTTTCCACTTAAGCCGATGAAGAATAAAGGTTAGAAAAATGAGAAGCTAAGCAAAAGGCAGTGCCAGATTTTTAATAGATAGACATGAACGATAGGATCTTATTCTGCCCTTTGAAGTTGCTTCAGTGTTTGACTCTCCTGGAATTTTTCTCTGCTCATTTGATCTCACTAGGTTCTTCCAAATTTCACTCACTATCCTTCAACTGTCCTCTGGAGCATTACAAAGGAGATTCCCATTTCTCAAAACTTTGTGTGTCTGTCTGTGCCTGTTCTCGGTTTTTGTAACATCTCATATCAGGTTGTATACCCTGCAGGACTAGATCAACTAGTCCATCATCTCTATCTTGGTAGATAAGTTTGGGATGAATCTACCAGAACTCTCCAAACCAACATGGTTGACTTCCCATGCCGTAAACTAGGTTCAAAGTAATCTTATCTATGATGCAGCCATCTTTCCATAGTCCCATCTAAGGCTACGTCAATAAACTTGGAGGACCGTGGAAATTTGCAACATTAATCCTTTGGAAACATTCACTAGAGAGGAACATAGAAAATAGAATAATAGGGCTGGAAGGGACCTTGGAGATCTTCTAGATCCAACCCTCCACCCAAGCAGAAGATACCATTTGGGACAAATAATTGTCCAGTCTCTTCCAGTTATGGAGCACCCACAGCTTCCGGAGGCAAGCTATTCCATTGATTAATTGTTCTTCCTATCAGGAAATTTCTCCTTAATTCTAGCTCGGATCTCTCTTTCACAAGCTTCCACCCACTCCTTCTTGTCCTGCCTTCAGATGCTTTGGAGAATAGGTTGACCTCCCTCACCCCCTTCTCTGTGACAGCCCCTCAAGTTCTCAAGGAAGAACAGCTGTCCAATCTGGTTGCAGAGTTTTGACCAAACGTTCCAGAGAAAGCAAGTAATTAGAAATAGAAATAAATAAATGAGACAGATGAGAAATAAATGAGAGAGACAGAAATATCTTGGAGAAGATCAAAAACCTGGACCACAAATGGTTGACTTTCCAGGAGAAGACCACCTCTTCTTGAATGAGGGCTGTACTTGTATTATTCCCACCCTTCCTTCCAAGATCTTAGTAGATCTGTGTGGGAAAAGAGTTGGAGCTAAAGTAATATTAACACACCCAGCATGAAATGTCATGCTGTGTCCCTTCAGGGTAAACAAAAACGTTCCCAAATCAACTCAAGGACAGTCAGAAAAATTCGGAAACATCCAGGGAGATCAAACAAACCGGGGAAAATCCCAGGGGGATCCGAGCACCGAAGCAACTTCAAAGTACAGAATGAGATCCCGTCGTTCAAACGCAGCTCTCAAAATCCACCTCCCCAAATCTTTGGAATGATTCCAACCCAAAGATGAGAAAGGAGGATATTCAAAAGATATTAAAAAACCGGGAGAAAAAAAAATGATCTCCCAAATCCAGCTAAACTGAAACATGACGGTAAACGTATCGCGGAAGGATTAAGCTTTGAAATCACAGGTTGCCATTTTGATTTTAAGAGAAGCAGGATCGCCAATAACTTTTATATCTCCAACACACCTTCCTCCTATTTTCCCCACAACAACAACCACCCTGTGGGGTGGGGTGGGCTGAGAGAAAGGGACTGTCCCCAAGTCACCCAGCTTGCTTTCAAGGCTAAGGCAGAACTAGATCTCCCAGTCTCCTGGTGATTGGCCCAAAGTCACCCAGCTGGCTTTCATGTCTAAGGCGGAACTAGATCTCCCAGTCTCCTGGTGATTGGCCCAAAGTCACCCAGCTGGCTTTCATGTCTAAGGCGGAACTAGAACTCACCATCTCCTGGTGACTGACCCAAAGGCAGGCAGCCAGCTTTCCTACCTAAGCTGGTACTAGAATTCACCGTCTCCTGGTTTCTAGCCTGGTGCCTTCATCCCTACACCAAACTGCCTCTTTATATACAGCAAAAGGCTAGCTTCTCTTGCATTCTGCAAGAGATCGTGAGTTCTAGTCCTGCCTTAGGAATGAAAGCTGGCTGGGTGCCTTTGGGCCAATCACCAGGAGACGGTGAGTTCTAGTCCCGCCTTAGGAATGAAAGCCAGCTGGGTGCCTTTGGGCCAATCACCAGGAGACTCTTGAGTTCTAGTTCCACCTTAGCCACGAAAGCCAGCTGGGTGACTTTGGACCCGTCCTTCTCTTATCTCAGCCCAGCCCACCTCACAAGACTGTTGTCGTGGGAAAAAGAGAAGGAGGGAGTTGTGTCGGATATGTTTGCCATCTCGAGTTATTTAGAGAGATAATACCGGCAGGATATAAATAAATAAGAAGTAAAAAAAAATTCTTGTATATTTTTAAGACGGCGAGAGACTGAGATGTGGGAGGGGGCAGAACATTTATGCCCACCCTCCCCATTTTTTCCCCGCATCCCACCTCCATGCAATCTTGGTTCCCATCCCTTTTCCATCCCTTGAAAGCCACGGTCCAGGAACCAGCAGCTCCTAAGGACCCCCCCCTTCTCCAGATGTTGGCTCCAGAGCAGATCCTCTTGGGGTTCCCTCCCCTATAAATAAGGCCTGTGTCATTCCCCCCATCTTTTTTTTCTTTTAAAGCTTTGCTCTCCCCCCTCTCTCTCTCTGCCCACTTCGCAGGAGACAAGGAGTTAAAAAAGAGCCTCAGCCACGGTTCTCCTTCTGATGAATATTTAACAGCCGCCAGGCTGAATCTCCAGATTTCTCCTCCGTGCGTTTTTGACAGCGTCGGAGGCCGAGGGAACCACCTCCATCCCTGTCGGGGTGAAGCAAAGCCCTCCACGGTGTTCCTTGGGGTTTTCCGAGGTGGCAGCCAAGAACCAAGGACACACGCCTGCCTGCCTGCCTCTTTGCTGGAGTCTCCCCATCTGGAATTCCCAGCAGAGTTTCCCCCCCCCCCCAGGTCTCTCAGGCTGGGAGAGAAAAATGTCAGAGCTTCTGGGAATAACTTTCCTGGCTCTTTCTTGGATGGCTCATGCGGAGGCAACAGGTGAGTTTGAAGGATGGAATCCCTTCGGGTGCAACCTCAGGGTTTGGGGAGGGGATAATTGTGCAAGTTGGCTGCGGGCGGACAAATTGATGGGATCCTTCCCCCCTCCCCCAGTCTGAACCACAAAGATTCTGTCCAGCAGAGTTTGCCCCAAATATACTTGGAAGAGAATCATTTGAGTTCAGGGATCAAGTCCCGAAGGAGAAAGCCTTTGTGATTTCTCCAGACCAAGCCCTGCTTTTTTTCTCTCTCTCTCTCTCCAGGCGTTCTTCATTTCACTAACAAAATTTGGGGGGTGGGTCAATCATTTGGGTGCCGCTTAGGTTAAGCCATGGTGAGCGTGGAATTCCTTGCTGGGGTCTGCTTGAGGAGATCTCGGTCTATCTTTAACCTTGCCCTTTTCTCTCAGCTGGGATCCGCTGGCTCTAAACACCTGTTGGTTGGTGGGAGATGCCACGGCACAAATGTCAACGTTCCTGCATTTAGCTCTCCCATGTGGAGTCTCCCAACTTTTGTTTCTTGTTTACCTCCGTCGGTGACAGCTGTCAGTTGGAGATCCAGCCCTCGGTGTTGTCCTCAACTGATGTCAGTTCTACTCAAGGGCAGGTCTATGGAGGTCCTCCGCCGTCCAAGTCGTGGTTGTCCCAAAGGTGTTTTTTTCAGGAGGCAACTGGACTGCCTTGTTTTTTTTTTTCTTGGAAGACGTTTCTCTTCTCATCCCAGAAGCTTCTTCAGCTCTGACTGGAGGCTGGGGATGACCCTCCCATTTCCCCACCATCCAGTCCGAGCGGAAGAAGGTTCTTGGATGAGAAGAGAAACGTCTTCCAGGAAAAAACAAAGGAAGTCCAGTTGCCTCCTGAAAAAACACCGTAGGGGCATTCAAGGGTAGCGTGGAGAAGATCTTTGGGCCAAAACCCTTCTGAGAAGGGGTCTCCTTTCAGAGGCTGTCACAGATTTGAGGGGCTGTCGCAAAGAAGAGGGGGGTTGACCTATTCTTCAAAGCATCTGACGGCAGGACAAGAAGCAACAGATGGAAGCTTGTCCAGGAGAGAAGCCATCTAGAATTAAGGAGAATTTTCCTGACAGTGAGAGCGATTCACCACTGGAAGGGCTTGCCTTCAGAAGTTGTGGGTGCTGCATCACTGGAGCTTTTCAAGAAGAGACTGGACAGCCGTTTGTCCACAATGCTATAGGGTCTCCTGCTTGAGCAGGGGGTTGGACTAGATGACCTCTAAGGTCCCTTCCAACTCTCTTCGTACCCTGTATTTACTGGAAGAATCTCCAAGAGGCATGTGAGGGAATCTTTTCAGGAGAACTTGAGAGAGTTTGAGTAACCACTCTTCTATTGGGAATATTAAGCATGGGAGAGGTGTCACCAGCGCATCGTTAAACTGACTCACATTTATGACGGTTGCAGTATCCCGGGATCCCCTTTTGCGACCTCATGACAAGCAAAGTCCATGGAGAGATTCGTTTAACAACGGTGTTCTTCATTCAGCAACTGCAGCGATTCGCTTAGGAAATGTGACCAGAAAAGTGAGCAGTTTGAGGAATTAAATTGAATTTCCACCCCCCCCCCCCTTATCTTCTGGCTCCTTAAAAGAAGCATAGGAATCGGATGCCACGGTCACTAGATGGCGCTCTTTGCTCCTTACAAACCCGGCTGGTAATTCTAGTTGGGGATAAAACATTCAGTGAACGATTTGAAGCAAAAACATTAAATAATTTAAAAAAAATGCTTGCATAATATTGCACGGTCACTCTCCTCTACAAGGTTCCCGTAACTTCAACCCCCTCTATCATTTCATCTCCATTAGTGAGAATTAAGTCCAGGAGAGCTAATCCTCTAGTTCCCTTCTCTACTTTTTGGGAGACAAAGTTGTCCGCTAGGTTTGTCAAGAATCTGTTTGATCGTCCTATTCTATATTCTATTCTATTCTATTCTATTCTATTCTATTCTATTCTATTCTATTCTATTCTATTCTATTAATTTCTATTCTATTCTATTCCTTATTTCTTTTCTATTCTGTTCTATTCTATTCCTTATTTCTATTCTGTTCTATTCCCATTCCATATTTCTCTTCTCTTCTCTTCTCTTCTCTTCTCTTCTCTTCTCTTCTCTTCTCTTCTCTTCTCTTCTCTTCTATTCCCATTCCATATTCTATTCCCATTCCATATTTCTATTCTATTCTATTCTATTCTTTATCTTCTTCATCCTTATTCTATTCTATTCTATTCTATTCTATTCTATTCTATTCTATTCTATTCTATTCTATTCTATTCTATTCTATTCTATTCCATTCCATTCCATTCCATTCCATTCTATTCTCCTTTTACATTGACCCAAATACATTCAAGACTTTTTCCATCCTTGTTTTGCTGCATTCTGCTGTACAGAATAACAGAGCTGGAAGGGACCTTGGAGGTCTTCTAGTCCAACCCCCTGCTCAAACAGGAGACCCTATACTAAAATGGGGCAAAATTCACAACAACTGCCTTGCTTAGCAATGAAAATTTGGGGGCTCATTTGTGACAGTAAGTCAAGGATTGCCTGCACTGAGAAGATTTGCAGGATGGGTGAGAAGTCCATCAGCTTGCAATGGGGATGTTATAAAAATGAATAACGGGCAGATTCCAGGGTTAATTAGAGGAGAAAAGCTAATATTGAACGTGGAATAGTTCAGTGAGAGACCGCTTGTCGATGCATGATAAAAAAGCCTTTTAGTTCTATTATTAATAGACCGAAGATAAAAAAGAAAAATCAAAAAAGCTTTTTCTCTCTCTTTTTAAGAGCCACAGAGAGGTCAGAGTAAAGGAAAAAAAGGTAGAGGATTCGGTCAGGAATTTAAAAGGTTGGGGAAGAGATCAAAAGCATTTTTAAGGTTTTCGAAAGACTTTGATTTTTACGGAAACATCAGCGCTTCAGCGATTTTGGGGTTTGAGCTCATGGCCAAGAAAATAACGATCTTTAACTCAGGACGGCATCTATAACAAAAAAATAACAGAATAACAGAGTTGGAAGAGACCTTCTAGGTGTGTTGGATATGTCCGTTGACTTGCCTTATTTCTAAAAATAATAAAGGCAGGATACAAATTAATTATATATTCTAACGAAGTATGATGAGAAATCAGATCAGATTTACTTCTGGCTCCAGTTTTGTCCAAGGTTTGCATTGTTCTGGGTTGAATGATTAGAAGCAAAAAAACAAAAAAAACAAAAAAAAAACGTCATTTAAAAAGGATGTAGGGTCCTTGGTGATCTCTGAGTTTGGTGGTTTTCTTGCAGATGTTTACCACTGATGATGTTACCTGGTTTGGTAATGAAACGTCTGCAAGAAAACAAGCAAGCTCAGAGAGCACCAAGGACCCTACAGTCCTTCCTTTCTTTCTTCCTTCCTTCCTCCCTCCCTCCCTCCCTCTCTCCCTCCCTCCTTCCCTCCCTCCCTCCTGTCCATAAATTCCACTTCCTTCTAGCATTGATGTTACCTAGTGGGATAATGAAATGTCTGCAACAAAACAAGGAAGCTCAGAGAACACCAAGGACCCCAGAGTCGTCTTCCTCCCCCTCCTCCTCCTCCTCCTCTCCACAAACCCCACTCCCTGCTAGCACTGATGATGTTACCCAGTTTGGTAATGAAACATCTGCAAGAAAACAAGCAAGCTCAGAGAGCACCAAGGACCCCATGGCCCGTCCTTCCTTCCTTCCTTCCTTCCTTCCTTCCTTCCTTCCTTCCTTCCTTCCTTCCTTCCTTCCTTCCCTTCCCTCCCTCCCTCCCTCCCTCTCTCCCTCCTGTCCATAAATTCCACTTCCTTCTAGCATTGATGTTACCTAGTGGGGTAATGAAATGTCTGCAAGAAAACAAGGAAGCTCAGAGAACACCAAGGACCCCAGAGTCGTCTTCCTCCTCCTCCTCCTCCTCCTCCTCCTCCTCTTCCTCCTCCTCCTCCTCCTCCTCCTCTTTGCAAACCCTCCTCCCTTCTAGCACTGATGATGTTACCTAGTTGGGTAATGAAAGGTCTGCAAGAAAACAACCAAACTCAGAGAGCACCAAGGACCCCATAGCTGAGTCCTGAGCTACAAATATTCTTTTCTAAAAAGAAGAATGTCCTAAATAGGGGGGGGGGGAAATGTCAAACGCTGCTTTCCAGATGGTTTATCTGCCATATTTTTCCCTCTGAGCTTGTCTCCAGACCTTCTAACTCACAATTGATCAACCAAGAGAGAAAAGTCCGATATTTTTTTTCTTTAACGAGCTCAGCTCAGTTAAAAGTTCCCAGTGTTAGTTTTCCATTACCCCATTGATTGCCGGGCTTTCTTCCTGATGATTTCGGATTGCGAGCAATAAAGCTAAATCAGACATGATTGTCAGAGAGAGGCAACTGGAGGGAACCTCGGTCCCTAAAGTGTGAGGGATGGATGCGCATCGTGGTTTACTTCGGAGGGTTTATTTTTTTTTCCTTTTTGTTTCTTAAAAGAAATTGATCTCTGCCTCTCTCTCTCTTCTGCAACCCAATTTTAAGCCTTCTCTGGGGGAGGGAGATTGGATGGAAAGCTAGACCAACTCAACTTGACTTTTGCTCAGCTAAAAACGACACGAGACTTCTTGGTCCTTCAGTTCTGCTATGAAACGGAGGGATGGAGAGCTGTGAGTACTACGGGTGGCAACTTACAAGGAGTTGACTAATGGTTACAGTAGGAATCTAGAACACAGAATAGTAGGCTCGGAAGGGACCTTGGAGGTCTTCTAGTCCAACCCCCCTGCTTTGTTCAAGCAGGAACAAATGGCCATCCGGTCTATTCTTAAGAACCCTCCCGTGATGGAGCACCCACAACTTCTGAAGGCAATCCGTTCCACTGATTAATTGTTCTCACTGTCAGGAAATTCCTCCTTAATTCTAGGTTGCTTCTCTCCTTGATAGGTTTCCACCCATTATTTCTTGTCCTGCTCTCTGATGCTTTGGCAGATAAGCTGACTCCCTCTTTTCTGTGGCAAATATTGGAAGACCACTATCCTATCTAGTTAGACTAGACATGCCCAGTTCCCGCAACGGTTCATTTGGAAGTGGCGCAGACAGACACCTCCCTAATTAACTGGAGTATAAGGAGATGGATCGGACAGTCAGACTTTTACGAAGAACGGCTGCAGGACTTGGGTTTGGCCAGTCTAAAGAAAAGAAGAAATAGGGGAGACATGATAGCAGTGTCCCAGTATCTGAGGGGCTGCCACAAAGAAGAGGGGGTCACGTTATTCTCCAAAGCACCCAGGGGGAAGGACGAGAAACAACAGTTGGAAACTGATCTAAGAGAGAAGCAACCTGGAATTAAGGAGAAACTTCCTGACAGTGAGGACAATCAACCAGTGGAACAGCTTGCCTCAAGAAATCATGGGTGCTCCATCACTGGAGATTTTCAAGAAGAGGCTAGATAGTCACTTGTCTGAGATGGCATAGGTTCTCCTGCTTAAGCAGGGGGCTGGACTAGAAGACCTCCAAGGTCCCTTCCAGCTCTGTTCTATTCCAAAAGACAATCTCAATCAAAATCTTTTTCTTGCTTTGGTGCTGTTTTAATTGGATTGAGATTTTAGTGCTACCACTAGAGTTAAATGTCATCCAGGTCATGGTGGCCCCAAAGGTGCTTTTTCAAAAGGCAACTGGACTTTCCTTGAAGATTTTTTTGCTTCTCATCCAAGAAGCTTCTTCGGTTCTGACTGAGTGGTGGAGAAGGGAAGGATTTGCAAGGAATACAAATCCTTCCCTTCTCCACCATTCAGTCAGAACCGAAGAAGCCTCTTGGATGAGAAGCGAGGAAAAACGAAGCCCAGTTGCCTTTTGCAAAAGCATCCATGGGACCACTACCAGAGTTAATTCTTTATTAGTTTTTATTTTTCTGTTTTGGCTAATACACATTTTCTCTTCTCCACCCTTCCATCTCCTATTTTTCCAGGTCTTTGGTGCTATGATTCCCTGGATCCTAAATGTGGTGAGTACTGGAGACAGATTTCTGAAGATACTCCTTGGAAAAATATTTGGTGAAGGTATCGCTCACCTGTAGTCTGAGATACCCTTCCCCAACAGGTACCTTCAGATGCAATAAGAACGCATCTCCTATGACTTTCAGCCAGCCTGGCTAATGGAAGTCGTCCCAATGCATTTGGGAAGTTGGGTGTGACATAATGGGAGATACTGCAAGATATTCTTATCAGTACAATATAAAACAAGTATCTGAGAGACCATGATTCTTGGGTAGAGGCTTTATATTTAGGTTTTATATTTCATGAGGGATTATGTGAATCAAACTCTAATTTTGCTTTCTATTTGTATTTCAATCCGAAGATACTTTACTTTCAGAAGTATTCATGAAATGAACAGTGCAACTGTTCTGTGTTTATTTCAGCTTCACTTCTCATTCCATCTTTCCCTTCCCTTCCCTTCTTCACCCATTTACTCCCTTCCCTTACTCCTCTTCCTCCTCCATCATCTTCACTTTTTAAAATTATGTATGCCTATCAGAAGCTCGTACTTTTAATGCTGTTCCAGTGTCAGTGAGGCTGATCAGCTGCTTAGAATATTCTACTTTTAAAGAAAAGTTCACGTTTTATAAAGAACAAAAACTCCCATCTTTCATGGGCATTTATGAATTTTTAAGACCATCAGTGGGTGCCAGATGTGCAGACACAGCCTTAAAACATCCACACCTGGAGTCATAAACCAGACAGCCCCCTTCCATTGTTCCTTGTGGGGGTCCAACTCTACCAAACTGGCTTTCTTTCTACATCTTCATTTTTTTTTCTAGCCAGATGGGTTGACATCTAAACGAAACTCTGACTCATAGTGGCATCTTCTTATTTTATCTGGAATCTATTTGAAACTGAGAAGCTTTTTTTGGGGGGGGGGGAAGTTTAGGAGACGGTGGCTTCCTTGTTTGATTTTTTATTTTTATTAAAAATAAACTTATCCTCAAAAAAACGAGGCTACCGAGCACTAAGACAGATACCACAAGTCCACGTTGCTTATCTCTTGGCAAGGACCCAATAACACAGAGAGGCCGAAAGCAAAACAGAATAAGGTTGGAGCTGGTGCTCTTTCGAAAGAGTCACAGATGCTAAAGCAGCTCGTTTTATCTGTCAGACTAAATATAGGCCCAGCAAGGAAATCCTGTTGAATTATAAATAAGCCAAACTCTCTTGTGAAGTTGAATGAAGACTGTTGCAAGAGAAAAGTGCAAGAAACAATAAAAAGGAAAATTAAGGATTCGGTTGACTGTAGACAATCAATTTGCTGGCAGAATTTGTTGATCGATACCAGAATCCTGCTTTGAGAAAAAGGATCAATATATCGCTTCCGTTTATCCAAGTCTGGATGGAAAGATTGGAAAAAAAAAAGTCCTTTTCCTGTTGTTACATCAAGGTTGTCATAACTGAGAGCAAGGAACGTTGATCTGGGTGCCAAAGAAATAGGTATGGAGAATACCTTCCATTCAGTGGAACAGTTGCCTCCAGAAATTGTGGGCGCTCCATCACTGGAGGTTTTTAAGAAGAGACTGGACAGCCACTTGTCCGAAATGGTATAGGATCTCCTGCTTGAGCAGGGGGTTGGACTAGATGACCTCCAAGGTCCCTTCCAACTCTGTTGTTCTATTCTGTTATGTTCTATACAGGTGAAGTAGAGAAAGATCTGTTTATGATCCAAACTGTGTATTGTGTACAATCGGGGAAATAATTGAAGCTCCCTATCCAAGCAACCGTCGGTCCTACTGGTTCTTTCTCAAGAGTTTTACCAATCTGGGAGCTTGGCTGGGCCAAAAGAGGGGCTTCAGAAAGTGGTTTAACAGGTGGATTACATTAGCTAAAGGAAAAGGAGGATCTCTGGGAGATTTATGAAGGATTGCTGGAAAGGATAATGGGCATTGCCTTGTTTTGAAGCCAGTTGCAAGCAGAAGTGGCTAATAGATGCCAAGAGGGCATTTGACCAAGAGTCCTTCAAACTAGGCTAGTATTTCTCGACCGTGAGAACTTGAAGATATGTAGACTTCAATTTCCAGAATTCCCCAGCCAATTTCCAGAATTCCCCAGCCAACTTGCTGCCTTAAGCATGGAAGTGAGCTTGGTGATTTGGGGCCAATCACCGGGAGACGGTGAGTTCTAGTCCTGCCTTGGACATGGAAGCTGGCTGGGTGACTTTGGGCCAATCCCCAGGAGATGGTGAGTTCTAGTCCTGCCTTGGGCATGAAAGCCAGCTGGGTGACCTTGGGCCAGTCTCATTCTCATTCATTCTCATCCCAACCAACCTCACAGGGTTGTTCTGGGAAAAGAAGAACGGGAGGGGGAGTATTAGGTATGCTCGCCACCTTGAATTATTTATAAAAAATAATCAAGGCTGGGTATAAATTTTTTAAAAAATCAAGGCAAGCTACTCTCGGGCACCCTGTGCAAAGTCCTTGCTCTGCAATGTTCTCCTGGTCTCTTTAGGCCCTTCCCACTGGAAGGAGATCACATCAGGATGCGGGGGACAGAACCAGTCTCCCATTAACATCGATCGAAGAAAAGTGCGACAGGACCGGAGCCTGGATGAAATTCTGTTTGAAGGCTACGACCAGGCGCCCCCGGGCAGATGGAGACTCTTGAACAATGGCGACGAAGGTGGGCCAATGAGGTTGGGATGTCTTCTGCAGGCATCTTCCCCAACCTTGAACCCGAACCCAGATTTCTGACTTAGAGCTCCTCTATTTTTTTTCTCTCTTTCAGAAATCTGGAAGGGGTGAGGAAGCCTGAGTAGCTCCTAGATGGGTAGGCAGGTCCTTTTTTTGAAACTGTGTTTACCAGTTGACTTTCCCTCTAGTCAAAATGACCTTGGATGGAGCCTCTGCTGCCGAGCAAATCAACATCACCAGAGGAGGCCTGAGGGACACCTACCGGGCCTTGCAGGTCCACTTCCACTGGGGGGACCTTAAGAGGAATGGCTCCGAACACTACATTGATGGGATACAGTATCCCATGGAAGTAAGTTAAGCGTTGGGTTTGGATAGCAGGTTCAGGTGCCGCTGAAACGATGCTGAAGAGCACCTGGTATGACATGGGTTATTTTTTAGATGGTCATCAAATGGATAGGAACAAAGCTGGAGAGAGAGAGACAGAGACAGAGACAGAAAGAGGAGGGGGAGGGAGGGAGGGAGGAAGGAAGGAAGGAAGGAAGGAAGGAAGGGAGGAAGGAAGGAAGGAAGGAGGAGAAGTATATACTGCGCTGTTTATGGTTATACAAGCTTAGTGCAAAATACATTTAGAAAACTTTTGGTTTTCTATCTATCATCTATCTATTGTTCCACCCCTCCCTCCCTCCCTCTCTCTCTCTCTCCCCCTCCCCCTCTCTCCTCTCTCTCTGCCTGCTTATCTATCTATCTATCTATCTATCTATCTATCTATCTATCTATCTATCTATCTGTCTGTCTGTCTGTGTCTATCTATCTGTCTGTGTCTATCTATCTGTCTGTGTCTGTCTATCTATCTATCTATCTATCTATCATCTGTCTATCTATCTATCTTTCTATCTATCTATCTATCTATCTATCTATCTATCTATCTATCTATCTATCTATCCTGTCTATCTATCATCTATCTATCTATCTATCTATCTATCTATCTATCTATCTATCTATCTATCATCTGTCTATCTATCTATCTATCTATCTATCTATCTATCTATCTATCTATCTATCTATCTATCTATCCTGTCTATCTATCATTTGTCTGTCTATCTATCTCATCTATCTATCCTGTCTATCTATCTATCTATCTATCTATCTATCCATCCATCCATCCATCCATCCATCCTTTCTATCTTCTAATCTTCTTATCTACTCTGATTGACAGAATATCAGTATTTTTTTCTTCTTCTTTCTGAGATGATGGTTGTGGGTCCGCACAGGCCAGTCCATTTTACTCACAATGAAGAAAAAGAAAAAAGGTCCTCAGCACAGTTTTAATCAGGCCCATTCCAAGAACTGCTTAGTTGTGTTGTTTTTTTTCTAAATGTGCAAAGGGGGGCTGGGGGATGTAAACCTCTCCTAGACGCTTGTTCAAAGGGAACACCACCCGATTCAACAGTATGCAATCAGCAACCCCAAATGACTTCTCTGTTTTTTCAAAGAAAGTAGCTATTAATTAAGGCCTGTGAGGCCCCTCCATTTGGTCCACTTCACTAAACACAATCCAACTCTTCATCATGGCGTAGACATCAAAGGGGCTTTTGAGCAGCTGAGGTTGATCTCGCGCCCTCTGTCATTTCATTTTAGGGGGTTTAACCATCAAGTGAGTTGCTGGAGAACCGGCGGGATGTTATTGCTTTTCAGAAGCTTCCATGACCTTTTTCAGAGTTCAAGAATTGCCCTCTCTGTTCATCCTTTACAAACCAGCACAACTGGCGTTCAAATTTCATGGCGTCTTTGCATTGCCCTCCTTAGATAGTTGTGAACAGGGCAGCTGTTCCAGCTCAACTTTTATTTTACCAAATGTATTCATTACTTTTCCCGTTGCATCCCTTTAGAGCGCCAAGTAGGATTTCAATCCAACATCGTGGTATTAATGTGGCTACAACCCCTTAGCCTTGAGAACTATAAAAATTAGACCGTATTAAAATATGGGCTGTTGTTTTGTTTTGAGATGTTATTATTTATTTATCTTTTAATGGCTGTGTGCAGTTGATCTGTTTAGGTCCCTCTAGAAAGTTTTATGGTTTTAAGACCCTGTCTTAAAACCATAAAACTTGGGAATATTCAGATGCACAGTCTTCTGGGTCACAAAGTCACAAAAATGTACCATTTTAGTAAATTTAACACCTGGCCCTCCGATATTAAATTTACTAAATGACAAAGCAGAATTTTTAGGATGTTTGTGTGTGTGTGAAGCCCTCTTAAAGTCCTCAGCATGTTATTGCATGAGCCAGAATCCTGTAAAGGTACCGTAATTGTTGACTTACAAGCAATCATTTAGCAAATATTCCCCACTGATAGATGTAAGCAGGAAAGAGGACAAAGACACAGGACATTAACATGTTCTATTAAGGACTTCGCCCTTAATTGCCCCCAAATAGGGTGAAAAACCTGGAAAAACAACTCAAAATCTTTTTTTTCCTCCTGTTTTTGGAAGTCCCAATGACAAGACAGACAAAACAGCCTATCTCTTCCTGCAGTGGTTGATGAAGGTTTCTGAAAATTATGAATTTTGCAGACATGGACATAGTTTTTGGATAGGGGGGGGGAAGAGAAAGGGGAAAAGATCTACAGGAAACGCTCTGCAGACATTTTGTGTGTATAGTGGTTAAATGTCTATGGAAATTCTTAGTCATCCTTCTCATTGTTGTCCGAAAGGTGTTTTTTCAAGAAGCAACTAGACTTCTGTTGATTTTCCTCGAAGACGTTTCGCTTCTCATCTGAGAAGCTTCTTCGGTTCTTCAGAACTTCCAGTTCTTCAGAACATCTTCACTTCTTCAGAACTCAAGAAGCTTCTTGGATGAGAAGCGAAATGTCTTCAAGCAAAACCAAAGGAAGTCCAGTTGCCTGTTGAAAAAGCGCCCTTGGGACTAGAGATTAAATACTGGCTACTTAGGAACAAAGACAAGGGGGAGACAGCAATGAATTGAGAAGAAGCTGAATGATAGAGAAATGTTCCTTTATCAGTCCTTCTGTTCCTTTATCCACAGCTGCATATCGTACACATGAACATCAAATGCAAAACCATCAATGAAGCTAAGCAACATCCAAATGGGTTCGCTGTCCTGAGTTTTCTGTTCAAGGTACGGTCCCACAAATATATTCGCCATTAGGTCAACATTTTCTGATGAAAAAGTTTATGTTATGAGCTTCTGAAGCTTTGGGGTGCAGTTCCTTCAGTCCTGGCTGTAACAAGAGCTTTTCAGATGTGTTCCCCCCCCCCCAATTCGTCACTCCATCCTAGCTGCTAAGCTCTAATGGCGCAACGTGAACCAGAGAAGCATGATTCATTTTGAATTTCTTTGATTAGAATAGAAGTTCAGGATTGAACAGTGGGATCCTTGGTGCTCTCTGGGCTTGGAGACCTTTCATGACCCAACTAGATAACAACATCAGTGCTATTGAATGTGGACATTGCTCCCTGGATAATGATGTCTACAAGCAAACCACTAAGTTCAGAGAGTACCAAGGACTCCACATTCCTTTGATTAGGTGTAATATCCAGAAATAAAGGATTGGGATTCTTCAGATTAGTTTTAATGTGATGTCCAGCTGCTGCTACCTTGGGTGGACAGCTTCAAGAACTGCTTGTTTTGTTGTTATTATTATTTAAACCAGAGTTGAAAAAAAAAACAGCCTTTCAAATAACTGGTCGTCCTCTGTAGAGGACATGTCTACCTACTTTTTCTGCCTTTGGCTACCTTGCAGGCTGTGGAACTGACTTCTTCCCATTATCCTGCAGGTAGCAGACACTGATAACACTAATTACAACACTGTCGTTGCCAGCCTGAGAAACATCACTCGTGCAGGTGAGCATCTTATCCAAGCACTGGAAGATGAATGCTTCTTCTGTCTATGACTCATTAAAGCAGCTATGTCTTTCCCCCGGAGTGCATGGATGCTGTGGGGAGGCTTCAAATGCAGCTACTCAATAAGGTGCAGCTGCTTTCATGAAACACAGCATTATTGGTGCTCATGTGTGTTCTGAAGTAGGTTCTCTGAACTGAGTAAGATATACTTTAGATTTCTGGGGAGTGGGTGGGACGGGGGGCCCAATTCCTAGCTCAAAATTGTTGTCACGAGTCCTTTAGTAACCTGAGGAGCTGTAGTCCTATCGGGAGGCCAAATCAATTGGAAGCCCTCAACACCTTCGGAGATTCTGAGGTGAGAACATCACATCTCCTGTGCTTTCTTTCAATGAGTACTGGGTGTCTGTCACACAACCGCGTTAACTTCCTTTCGTCTTATCCTGCACCAATCCAGAATGGAGCTGCTGCTTCTTCTTCTCCACTACCAATCATGGTTATGCTTTTGCCTAGGAGAATATGTTGACATGGCATCCACCTTCTCCTTGAGCAATCTTCTCCCCAGCTTAGCTTCCTTGTCCAAATATTACCGTTACAAAGGATCTCTCACCACACCAAACTGTGATGAAGCGGTCACCTGGACAGTATTTGAAGAGCAGATCCCCATCAGCAGATCTCAGGTAACAACCACACTGCCTCCATCCGCACATTCGAAGCTGGTCTTTTCATTTCCAACAAAAACTGTCCACATTTCAGTGTGGTCAAGATGGGTGACCACCAACTGACAAATGTACAGAGGTATTGGGTTGGCTGTAGAGCACTCCTTCTCTTCTCTTTCTTCTCTTTCCCTTGTTTTAGCTGAATATATTTGTGGACACCACGTACTTCAAAAGTTCAGCTGGCACACCACAGAAAATGGTCAACAACTTCCGTCCTTTACAGCTTCTTAATGGCCGCACGGTCTATGCTTCCCGTGATGCCACCATCAGTGGCGGCTCTTCTCTTGTTGCCAGTGTATTTCTTCCTCTGCTCTTGTCTTGTTTGGTTGGCCAATTCTCTGGCTCCTCCTAGCTGTCTGAGCGAATGGCCGGGCTCAGTCATGAATCCATTATAGATCTGTGGTACCTTCCTAGGTGTGGTTCTTCAGTGTGACGCTTCCCTATCTGAGCTGAGCGAGGCACAAGTCCAAAATCGTGGGGTGTTTGATTGATTTATGAGAAAAAGCTCAGGGACAATTGTATTGCAATCAAAGGCGTCCGATTCATGACTGCCACCGTAAATGGGACCAACAATGAAACAAGATAGGTGGAAAGCTTTCACCTTGGCCAACGGATGAGTGGTCCTCATGCCAAGCAGAAGAATGACACACAAGGCACCTTCTGCCAGCATGGGAAAGGAAGGTCTGAAATTATGTAAATTGAAGTTCTAATGAATAAATTCAGAGTTCTTAATTTTTCCACGACGAGGCTGACTCAATTTCATTCGTCCCAACCGCCAGCTTAGACTACTTGCCGCACCAGAATTGAATCTCTGGAAACAAAACAATCAAGAGGGTTGCTGTTCTACTTTTTCATCAGGGTCACTGGGGCAGTGGGGAGGGGGGTCCCCTCTCTGCCACCTAAACATCCATTCCAAGAAAAGCCAAGATCAGTAACAAACTTCATAACAAATAATGGGGGGGATCAGAAACAAACTTCATAACAAATCTGAGTTGAATCCCATCAAAACCACCGTAATCTACCTTAGGGACCTATCACTCAAATTGTAGACACTGCCACAGGGGCAGAGCGTCCTCTAGGAGAGTCCCAAAACTCAAGATGGGGGCCACATCGTCACATGTTGAAAAAAAGGGTGGGGCTTCCTTTACACGAACGGAGGTGAGGTGCAGGCAACCAAAATCACTCGCAAACAGTCTCAAGCAGGAACTTTATCGCTGTTCACCTATGTTACAAGAATGTCACCAAACTGACTGCATTTCCTGGAGAATTGGTCATATAAGGCTTCAGGAGTTCTGGGGAGGCCAGGCCTTTGCTGCTTTCTGCATTGGAAGGACTTCTCTTAACACTTCCTTCCAGTTTAGAGGGAGATGATGGACGTAGAAAGTTCTTCCAGACGTATCTGGAGATGAATCGAAGCTGGCTTGGCTTGATTTGAATGAACCCTAAGGCCTTGTTCCTAAGTAGGGCTATTCTCCCTATAATCCTACCTTCTCTCTGGCTTTTTCTTCCTCCCTTAAAATGGGAAATAAATCACATTATGCCACTGGGCTTGAGTTAGTTGATGAGAGACCTGGGGGTGGTCCTCCAGCTGTGGTGAGACTCCAGAGCCTATCCAGTGGTGGAGGATGCTAGCTTTTGTAGTTCAGCAGCATCTGAAACCATTTCAGATTCCTCCTGAGGCTGTAGAGAAATCTAAGGTTGTAATTGCCTTGTTTTAACGCACTGTATTGATACTGTAGACGTGTATGAAGCGCTGTCGTGATCCTCTAGGGATCCTTTCGCCAGTCGCCTCCTTCGAGGGCTGATATAATTCACTCCATCGCTGAAATTCATCGCCCTTCTTGTGGGCAACTCAGCTCTTCTTTGCAGCTCAGTTTTCAAAGGGGTTTTGAGCGCAAAAATCCCACGGGGGGGGGGGGACGAACCAATCTATAAATCAACCCCTCCTCCTACAACCCGCTGCATTACCGCTCAGGAAATAAGAGAAGCCAGGCCTGCTGAGTTGTTGTTTTTTATTTTTATTTTTCTAGAAATAGCAGACCTATTAAGAAGAGACATCCACATCCCTTTCTCTTGGTCTTAATTATAGATTTAAATTTAGCCCCAAGGAAAACGTGGCTAAAGTTAGCTTTGGGAAAGGCCATTGCCTTCCTCTTCTGTTTTTTTACACATGAGCAAAAAACAAACGCTTGTGCTTTAGGGGGTCTTCTATCAGGCTGTTTTGATTTATGGATTGCTAAGGGGTGTGTGTGTGTGTGTGTCCAAATTCTGTTGAAATTCTATCCTGTAAATGGGATGTGGCTTGAAAGCATGGAGAGGACTAGTTTGTGTTCTACAGATAGTCATCGATTTTAAACCCCTATGTTTAGCGACCATTCAAAATTGCAATAGGACTGAAAAAAAAAGTGATTTACGACATGTCCTCACACTCACCATCACGGCAGCTTCCTCACCTTCACAAGGTCAAAATTTGGGTGCCTGGCAACCAGGATGTATTTACGATGGTTGCAGCATCCTGGCTTATGTAAAGCTTGTGATCTTCTCGGAGGGCTTATGAGGAGCAAAGTCAGTGGGGCAAGTCCGGTTGGCTTAATGGCCGTGTGTGAGTCACTTAACAGTTGTGGCGAGTCATTTAACAATCCTAGCAAAGGGAGGTTGTAAAATTGGATGTGACTCACTCAGCAATTGCCTTACTTAACAGTGGAAATTCTGCCCCCCCCCCGTTGCGATTGCACGCTGAGGACTAGCAGCATATTTACCTCACATTAATCAAACCTCAGTTTATTGGATTTAATATCTGGGTATTGCTCAATACTCTGAATTCTAAACTAAGCCCTTAACCTGCATTGGTCCAAAGCAACAAATTAAATGAAAAGGATTAGACTTAGAATAGAATAGAGCTGGAAGGGACCTTGGAGGTCTTCTAGTCCAGCCCCCTGCTCAAGCAGGAGAACCTATACCATCTCAGACAGGTGAATGTCTAGTCTCTTCTTAAAAATGGATGGCGCAACCCACGATTTTTGAAGGCAAAGCTGTCCCATTAGTTGATTGTCCTCACCGTCAGGAAGTTTCTCCTGAATTCCAGGAGAAATGGAAGCGGATGCTTTAGAGACATTTCACATCAGAAAAAGCTATTACTCAAGCATCAATCCACGTCACACGGCCGTGTTTTGTTTCGGCCGTGTTTTGTTTCTTTAAAGGAATACTGTGAAGCAAGACCTCTGCGGCAAGCGCAGAACAGCTTCGTTTTTTTTCTGCAAAGCTGCTGGGCAACATCTTTCAAGCAGATGCTGCCCGAGGCCTCCTGGTAGAATGATTGAAGCAGCATCATTAGGAGTTTGACCAAGCGGGGCAAGCAGGTTGTGGAAAGGAGCCGTGGAACATTTCAGCTGCTTGAAGTCCAACGGACTAAATATATAGGTGTATTTGTGTGTGCGTGTCTATTTTTTACATTGTTAAGGGGAGAAAAAAGAGCCAGGAAAGAAGGCTTGCAAGAAAGATTCTATTCTACGCTGTTCTGTTCCGTCCCGTCTCATCCCATCCTATCCATTCTACTCTAATTCTGTTCTGTTCTGTTCTATTCTGCAATCTCTTCTCTTCTCTTCTCTTCTCTTCTCTTCTCTTCTCTTCTCTTCTCTTCTCTTCTCTTCTCTTCTCTTCTCTTCTCTTCTCTTCTCTTCCTTTCCCTTCCCTTCCCTTCCCTTCCATCTCTTCTGTAATCATTCTGTTATGCTCTACTCTACTCTACTCTACTCTACTCTACTCTACTCTACTCTACCCTACCCTACCCCGCTCCGCTCCGCTCCGCTCCGCTCCACTCCACTCTACCCTACCCTACCCTACCCTACCCTACCCCACTCCACTCCACTCCACTCCACTCCACTCCACTCCACTCCACTCTACTCTACTCTACTCTACTCTACTCTACTCTACTCTACTCTACTCTACTCTGTGTTTCCAGTCTCAAAATGATGCACATTTCAGGCCCAAAATGTAGCAACTATATTGCCAAGAACTGGTTGTATGGTCCCTGGACTTTAAAGTTTGCACAAACACACACACAGACATAACACACACACACAAATGGGGATATTTGCAGAACCACCTTCGATGCTGGGTCTTGAACCCTGCTAGAAAGGTATGCTCAAATAAGCCCAAGGGTGGGTCCTTCTTAGCGGCTGTTCCCCTACTTGGGAGACCTTGCTATACGCCCCCAGCCTCCTGTCCTTTGAGAATGCTCTTAAGATTCCACAGGGCATACGGGCACTTAAAGTGGTAAAGCTGACTCACAGGCAGATTTTATTACCTGATTTATAATTAGATTTCTCTTGGCTTTATGTTGATATATTAGTCTCAGTCTCTCTCTCTCTCTCTCTCTCTCTCTCTCTCTCTCTCTCTCTCTCACAACACTGCAAAATGTCTGGATTTGTCAAAGTAGGGGGTGTAAAAATGTTTGTATAAATAAATCATGTCGGTGGCCAGAAGCCAAGGGGAGGCGGTGTAATGGGATAAGCTTCAGACACCACCTTCTCTTTCGCCTCCAGCACACTATTTCTTCCCTCTCTTGAGAAAGGCCACCTGAGATGGTGGTCTTACTTCTCCTAACAGTGGAGAGATCAACCTCGGGGCTGGGCAAAGATCAGATTCCTCCACGATTGCCTTTCCCTTTCAGAGTTCCTTTCTGCCATTAAGGCTGCAGAAGACCTGCTTCTGAGCCTCTTCTGCAGGATGTGAACTGTCAGAAGAAGAATTCGGGGCTCCAGCTTAAGCTGGGGGTTGCCCAAGTATAAATAAAAACGAGGTCCAGGCAGCTGTGAGGAAAGAAGAAATATTTATTCCTAAAAGGAAAATGGTTTGCTTTTAGGGGCAGGCTGCAGAGAAATGGGGTACAGTGGCAAACTTTTATAAGGGGAGCTTGCCCCAGGTGTGGAAGTATCTACGTGCTGAGGGGCGTGTGTGTGTGTGTGTGTGTGTGTGTGTGTGTGTGTGTTTGTGAATCCTTGTGAACATACAATTCTGCCGGGAGACTTAATTCAATTAACTCTCTTTGTGTTTGCAGACCTTATCTTTTGATATGTGGATTAGGTCCGGGTAAGGTAGTATTTTGGGGTTTGAAGAAGTGTGCTGATTGGATTAAGTTGGAGACACTGAATCTCAAACCATTGTGGATTCAAGTTAATATTTTAAGGGAAGATGGAAACAGTATAAAGAATAACACATATTCACAATATCGAAGCAGAGGGACATTCGAAGCGATGCCAAGACTGAAAAAAAACCCACATCGTGTTTATTTAAATTGTCCTCATGAAGTAGCTTACACCGTTTTCTCAATCTCCGGAGTTTCAACTCACAAAGGGTTGTGTTTTTGGGGCGAAATTAATAGCCTTGCACCCTCTTATTTCACCCCCCAGAGTTGCTCAGTTGAGGCACTGGCAAAGGAAGATTAGATATTCATGAACATTAAAGGGAGTACTGAAGACAGCAGGCGACTGTGAGTTCTAGTTCTGCCTTAGACATAAAGCCAGATGGGTGATCTTGGGCTAGCCACAGTCTCCCATTCACTATTATAAATGTGAGACCGTTGCCAAGCACCCAACTGAGATTGATGCGAGGGTTGTAACTACTAGGAGGACAAGTCACTTTTTTTGAGCCCCGTGGAAACGCCAAACCATTGTTAAATGAGTGGTTGTTGAGGACTACCTGTAACTTCACCCCCATTAAGCAATGATCTCTCCCTAGAACTAAGGAGAAATTTCCTGACAGTGAGAACAATTAACCAGTGGAACGACTTGCCTCCAGAACTTATGGGTGCTCCATCACTGGAACTTTTCAAGAAGAGACGGGACGGCCATTTGCCTGAAATGTTACAGGATCTCCTGCTTGAGCAGGGGGTTGGACTAGAAGACCTCCAAAGTCCCTTCCAACTCTATTGTTCTGTTGTTATTAAGTAATAGATGAAAGCTTATCAAAGAGGGATTCAACCTAGAACTAAGGACGAATTTCCTGACAATTAATCAGTGGAAGGGCTTGCCTCATAGTTGTGGATGCTCCATCCCTGGAGGTATTTAAAAAGAGACTGGACAGCCTTTTGCCTGACATGTTATAGAATCTCCTGCCTGAGCAGGGAGCTGGACTCTGTTATTCTGTTTAACCATGACTGCTGCAGGAAGCCCACCGTGCCATCAGCTTGAATCAACAGGTATCTGAATTCGATAACAGACACACTACCTGATGGATGGGTCTTGCACCGGGGATCCTGTCAAAAGTGTCAGAAATTCCCAGGTGATCTATTTCTTGCCCAGCAGCTCTCCGATCCTCCATCAGGGGTGTAACAGCATATTGACAAAGACACAGCCAGCTAATTAGATGTTCTATCGGAGAGCTACAAAAAGCAGATTCACTTGGCTTTTGATGGGTCTTGCTGGCCTATGGAAATAAATCTTCATTGATTTTTCTCTGAATTCTCTCCCCTTGTAGCCCTGGGAGGGGCGGGGGAGGGCTGTTGTTTTTCCAGCCCTCACAACAACAAAAAACGAGAAAGAGTAATTTATATATCCTCCATGTGGTGCTGCTACTGTGCCCCTTAGCTGGAATCCGCTTTGTTCAGGCTGCTGTTTCTAAAATAGCTAATTTGGCCTCTCCTGTTCCTTCCCATCAAATCTGGGGCTTTGGAAAGAAGTTGTCTTCTAACTAATGGCGCAAAAATTATGATGGCGGTGATTTATCTCTCATTTCATCTCATTTTAATCTCAGTGTCTTCAGCTTCCTAGATACTTGGGAAGGATCTGATGGTCAAAGTACCCAAGGCAATTAGAGTAAACAGCAACAATATATTATTATTAATAATCATACACACATGCATCCATTTAAAAATACAGGTAGCCCTCGACACACAATCACAATTGGGACCAGAATTTCCTGCGCTAAGCACAGCGGTTGCTGAGTGAGTCCATTTTAAAACCTTTTTTTTTTTGGCCACCCTTGTTAAGCAAATCACTATAGTTACGTGAAACACATGGCCGTTAAATGAATCCAGTTTCCCCCACTGGTTTCGCTCGTTGGAAGACTAGGAAGACTAGAAAGGGCGGTCACACAACCCCGCCAACTGTCATAAATACATACCAGTTGCTAAATTCCCAATTTTGATCACGTGACTGTGGGAATATTGCAACAGTCATATATATATTGCAAAAGAAAAACATTAAAGTAGGGTGAATGTTCAGTTTAGGGTTACCTCAAAGCTATCGTTCTAGAAAGACCTGGCGTGTCCTACAGAACCTGTCAGTCAAAGCCATTTGTGAAATCCTGCTGATCTCAGGGATCTCAGCGATCAATAGAAGAATCTCTGATGGTCAGTGAAGTTGACCTTCGTTGCCTTCACAAGGCAGGTGGTGCTGGGGCACCA